GGGGAGTCCACACTCCCTCCTCAGTGATCTTAGTGGAAAGCCTGGGGTGTGTCCCAGCTCTGCCACTTCCCAGCTGAGGAACTGTGGACAGGTCAACTTCCTTCTTAATCTAGAAAATGGACATGACTATTGGGGCTTGCCTGTGCCCATGGTTGCTGCAAGGATGTAGTGAGAGAGTCATTCCATTTTGAAAGCTGGGAAATGATAAGTGTGGGTGTTAATGTCCCGTGCACTCTATTCCTCAGCGGACCCCCCGCCATCCAGCCCTGCGCAGGAGGCCCTGGACCTCCTCTTTAACTGTGGGAGCACCGAGGAAGCGTCTAGTTCCCCTGCCCGAGGCCCCCTCACTGAGGCCGAACTTGCCCTCTTCGACCCCTTCTCCAAGGCAGGTAATGAGCTGGGACATCCGGGATGCGGGCTGCTGGGGCAGGAGGCCCTTAGGGACAGGGAGGAAGGCAGAGCTGACACCAGCCTGTGGGGTGCCTGTGTAAATCTGAGAAAGAGGCCCCTCAATAGTGCTGCCCTGCGGGCATGTGCAGTCTCAGGGAAAATTAGACGCAGGTGTCCCTTCCCCAGGTGCCATAGTCCCGTGCCAGGGCGCGTGGCTCGGTGTGCTGGATGCCCCTGTGCAACCGTGTTGGAGGGGAATGAGCTATTTCCCAAGATGGGGTCTTCTTCTCCAGGACACTTTGGAAAGAGGAGGGTCATACTGCTATGGGAGGCTTTAGGTCCTTCTGTTGGAAGCCTGAGGTGAGATTTTCTGGCTGGCTCGGGGTCTGGCTGCAGACCCTAAAGTCAGAAGAGGCCTGTTGGTCGGCGCGGGTGAGGTCTGGGCTACAGAGAGAGTGAAGCCCCTCTGGGGGCTGGAGCCGCTGCTGGCACGTGGCACGCCCGAGACAGAAGGGCTGCCCCATGGAGGCCAGGGGCCTGAGCACCTCCTGCCCTGAGATCCCAGGCTCTGACAGTCCCAAGCTCTGAGACACTGGAGTTGTTCATTCTAAAATGCTCCAAATTGAAGCTGTCACTGCAACCCGGGTATTGAGTGGCTGATCTCATTTCAGGGTAATAATGAGTCAGTCTCTGTTTGGATTCCTCAACAGGATTTTCAAGCCTGTTTTGTTGGCTTCCCTTCTTCACCCTTTGGCAGACCTTTGCTTCCCTTCCCTTCCCTCCCTTCCCCTCCCCTCCCCTCCCCTCCCCTCCCCTCAGTTTCCTCGTGCGTAAAATGGGAATCATAATAGTACCTACTTCATTCGGTTGTCCTAAAGATTAAACAACCCCAAAGGCCCCTCCCCCCCAGAGTGAGTGCCATGGCATCAGCCTAGCTCACAGCAACCTCAAACTCCCGGGCTCAAGTAATCCTTCTGCCTCAGCCTCCCGAGTAGCTGGGACTACAGGCATGCGCCACCATGCCCGGCTAATTTTTTCTATATAGTTCTAGTTGTCCAATTAAATTCTTTCTATTTTTAGTAGAGACTGGGTCTTGCTCTTGCTCAGGCTAGTTTCAAACTCTTGACCTTGAGTGATCCGCCCGCCTTGGCCTCCCAGAGTGCTAGGATTATAGGCGTGAGCCACCACGTCTGGCCAGACTTTGGTTTTCTGATCAGTTTCCGGCACTGCAGCTCTCATCCTTAGGTGTGAAGCCGTCCAGTCCAGTCCAAATCAGGACATCAGTGTCCCATCCAGTCTTCAGCCTCACCCCTCCACCTGCCTCAGGCCTGACCAGTGGCCCGGTCCCCTGCCACAGTGACATGGGTGTGAGAAGCATCCTTTCACTTTTCTTGTTGTGCTTCCTCCATTGCAGGGAAAGGTAGAGGCGGGGTTATGGGCTGCTGTGCCCGGCCTCTGAGGGGCACCTTCCCCTTGCCCCAGCTGAGCGCTCAGGGTGCCCTGTGGGCAGGAGCTTTTCAAGACCCCTCACAGGCCGGCCCCATGAGACATTCACTTGGCTCACCAGAAAACTCCCAAAGCCTCGCCCCCCACAGGCTGGAAGTGCAGTCTGCTCAGACCCTGCCTCATGTCCCTGCCCTGCCGTCATGGGCAGCTCCAGTGAGCCTCTCACCACTGGAATCCTCCAGTCTCCCTTCCTCAACCAGAGCCCTGAAAGCAAGGGTTGAGGTGTCCCAGGCAGTCTTCTCCCTGCTCCATGGGCAACAGAGGAGGGCTGCAGGCCCAGCCAGGAGCTGTCTTTCCTCAGGCCCCGGTCTTCTAGGGCTCTTGTGGAACTCCTCACTTGGATGGGGCTGGAGAGATGCCCGTCCCCTCCCCCCAGAATGGTGGGGAGTCATGGTGCTCCTGTTCCTGTCCCTGCACTTTCCCTGCAAAGGCCTTTGCTCTGTAGATTACGAGATGTCTAAGTGCTTCGCGTGTAAGCTGCAGGGAGGATGTCTAACCACCTCCTCGCCAGTACAGGGTGGGTGATGAGCCCTTCATTCTGGAATGTGAAGATACCTGCGTCCCACTGTCTTCACATTTGAGGGCCTCAGCTGGAGTTGCAAGACCTCAGAAAAGCCCTGAGATTCTCTGAATCCATTATTCTATTATTCTAAGGCTTAGAGTAATTTCTACCCTTGGCCTGATGCAGTTGGTCTAGCATCCTTCAGTTAAACTTTGTAGAGGGAATCCTTGGTTATCCTTGGAATTCTAGGTTAACTGGAGTCAGGAGAGATATAGGACCAGTGATCCAGAGCTCACAAACTAATGTGTACCTAAAGAAAGAAGTAGGAAGGTAAGGCTGTTTTGACAAAAGCACACGAACCCCACTGACCAAATAGATCATGGCTAGTTTGCTGTACACAGGCAACTTCTGGATTGCCCAGGCATCACTCCCCTCTACTGGAGACAGGTTGATACTCTCATGGGCAAGAGAGGTATGGGGGTAGGCAGTGGGTCCTGGCAAAGGAAGGGCCAGTTGGCCTGAGTCCTTCCTATTTGATGGCAGAAGGCGCAGGCCCCAGCCCCACCCACATAGGTGAGCTGGCATCCATGGAGGTAGAGTCGGAAAGACTGGACCAGGAACCCTGGGAGCCAGGAGGGCAGGAGGAGGAAGAGGATGAGGAAGGAGGGCCCACCCCTGCCTATCTGAGCCAGGCCACGGAGCTCATCACCCAGGCCCTGCGGGACGAGAAGGCGGGCACCTACGCTGCCGCACTGCAGGGCTACCGAGATGGCGTGCACATCCTGCTCCAGGGAGTGCCCAGTGAGTATGCAGTGGAGGGTGGAGGGTCAGGCCTGTGTCCTAGATGGGACGGTACAGAAGGGAGCCCTTTTTCCTCACTGACAAGCTGTGTAAACTTGGGCAGGTTTTTGTTTTGTTTTTTAACCTCTTATGGCTTCAGTTTCTTTATTTGTAAAATGAGAAGAATAGGCACTGGGTCCCAGGGAAGAGAGAAAGGCATGTGATGATGCTCCGTAAACCATAAGGGACTAGACCAAGTGTTCTGAAGGTAGCTGGGCGCAGGTACCTCCGCTGAGCCAGTCTGTCTACACAGATGACCCATCCCCTGCCCGCCGGGAAGGTGTGAAGAGGAAGGCAGCCGAGTACCTGAAGCGAGCAGAAGAGATCCTGCACCTACACCTGTCCCAACTCCCGCCCTGAGAGGGAGCAGACTCTTCCCCAGAACTCTAGCTCCAGCACTGCCAGACACCCCCTCTTTCCCCAGGGCCTGGCCCTACCCTTTGGTCTTGAAACCCCAGGAGCCATTTCTGTAAGTAACTGGACCAACAACGAGAATCACAATGAACTCTCAGCTCCCTGACTACACCTGCACCTCGGCATCAGGGACTCACATTTCTGATCCTGCCTGTCTTATTTTGATGTGTGAGCAGCCGCTCTGGTCACCAAACTGTCAGTTTACCATCTAGACCCGGAGTCTGCAAACTACAGCCTGAAGCCAAATCTGGCCCATGGTTTTTTCTTGTGAGGCCTGTGAGCTAGAATGGTTTTTATGTTTTTTTAATGGTTGAAAAAAACCGAAAGAATAATATTCTGTGACAGATAAAAATTATATGAAACTTAAGTATTTGTAAATAAAATTTTGTTGGAACACAAACAGGCTCTTTCATTTAGTATTGTCTGTGTCTGCGTTCACACTGCACTGGCAGAGCTGTGTAGTTGCAAAGGTGAGTCTTTGCTACGGCAAATCCCACATTTACTACCTGGCAGAAAAGTTTGCTGACCCTGATCTAGAAAATGAGGAGCATAGTCTCTAGGGAAACAGGATAGTGACAGGCCAATGGAGCCAGTTTGTTGGGTAAAAGGGATGAAGGAGGCTGGGCGCTGTGGCTCATGCCTGTAATCCTAGCAATCTGGGAGACCGAGGCAGGAGGATCGTTTGAGCTCCAGAGTTCGAGACCTGTCTAAGCAAGACTGAGACCCCATCTCTACTAAAAAAAAATAGAAGGAAATTAGCTGGACAACTAAAAATATATAGAAAAAATTAGCCGGGCATGGTGGTGCATGCCTGTAGTCCCAGCTACCTGGGAGGCTGAGGCAGAAGGACCGCTTGAGCCCAGCAGTTTGAGGTTGCTGTGAGCTAGGCTGACGCCACGGCACTCACTCTAGCCCAGGCTACAGAGTGAGACTCTGTCTAAAAAAAAAAAAAAAAAAAAAGGGGATGAAGGAGAGAAACCTAAAGCGGGGCTAGGGGTACCTATTTTGAAGGCCCCAAAGTCAAGGATGGTTCACGGGGCTGGAGCCAGGTATGGCTCGGGGTTGTGGCCCGCCGCCCCCTATGCCCCGCCCTTCCGACGAGGCGATTGGTGGCGGAAGGGACTACAAACTGGTGCATCATGGGAGCCGCTCGGACTACGAAACTCTGAGACGGGTGGTGTGGCCCAGTTTCCGTGGAGGCTGAGGCGGCGGACTGCTGAGTCCAAGAGTTCGAGAACAGCCTGGGCCAGATAGCAAGACCTCCGTCTCAAAACACACTAAGGCGGGGGGGGTGTTGTAAAGTTGGGCGCGTGCGTGATGGGCGCGCGTTAACGGTGCCTGAGCGCGCGGACCGGCGGGGGCGTCGCTGGACGACAGCGCAGTGCATCTTGGGAGGCGGAGTCGTCGCGGCCAGTGAGAGGCAGGCGGTGGGCAGCGGCCCGACGGCGGCGGCGGCGTGGGCTGCAAGGACGCTGGAGACCTGGCCGGGGAGGCGGGGGTGCGGGCCCTGCTAGGTTAGGCCTTAGCCCGCTTCTCCGATCTCAGCCGGCCTTGGCGTGGCGTGCCTCCCCGCAGAGCAGGGCGAGTGGGTGCCGCGGTCCCCGGGATGCTGAGCGCCCACCCTCTCCCCGCAGCCCACCATGCCCAGTTGCCAGCTGCCCATGGGCACCTGCCCGGACATGTGCCCAGCCGCCGAGCGCGCCCGGCGCGAAAGGGAGCGCCGCCTGCACCGCTTTGAGGTGGCGCCGGGGTGCTGCGGGGACCGGCCCCGCGCCGACCCGCAGCGCACAGTGAAGGAGTACTGCCGGCCGGCCGCCGGCAAGCCCCGGCCACCGCCGAGCGAGCTGCGTCCGCCCTCGGTGCTGCTGGCCACCGTGCGCTACCTGGCCAGCGAGGTGGCTGACAGTGCCGACGCATCCCGCGCCGAGGTGGCCAGCTTCGTGGCTGACCGCTTGCGCGCAGTGCGACTGGACCTGGCCCTGCAGGACGCGGAAGACGCCGAGGCAGCGGTGGTGCTGGAGGCGGCGCTGGCCACGCTGCTGGGCGTGGTGGCGCGGCTTGGGCCCGACGCGGCCCACGAGCCCTCGGACCTGGTGCTACTGCAGACTCAGGTGCAGGAGGGCTTCGGCTCGCTGCGGCGCTGTTACGCGCGGGGCACGGCGCCACACCCCCGCCAGGCCACCTTCCAGGGCCTTTTTCTGCTCTATAACCTGGGTGAGTCCGCGTCCTGGCGGCGGGGCAGAGTGTGGGGCTGGGGAGCACTCCATGGGGAAAGTGGAGGTAGGAGGAAGAAGCAGGTTTAATAGTTCACCGTGAGCTCACTCCAAGGATAGTCATTGCACAAGATCCGCCTAGCCCCAACATGAGAGCTTGGGCCCATCGCTGGGTTTCAGTTTTCTCAGTAAAAACGTGAAGGAGGCAGGATTGGAATGGGAGAGCTGGCTTAGATAGTGATTTTCAAACTTTTCTTTAACCTAAACTCCCAGTGTTGCAAAGCAGCTAAGGAACTTATGCCCACGAATGTATCTGAGACAGCAGGTTCAAGATTTTAGATACTTTCTATGGGTGATGCATTTTAATTATTGTGGCTGGGCACAGTGATTCACACCTGTAATCCCAGCGCTATGGGAGGCCGGGAGGCCGAGAGGCCAGGAGTTCAAGACCAGCCTGAGCAACATAGTGAAACCCTATCTCTATAAAAAATTAGCTGGGCGTGGTGGTGTGCAGCTGTAGTCCCAATTCATCCAGAGGCGAGGCAGGAGGATCGCTTGAGCCCAGGAGTTTGAGGCTTCCATGAGCTATGACCATGCCACTGCACTCCAGCCTGGGTGACAGAGCAAGACCCTACCTAAAAAAAACCCCACAAAAGAACTGTGTTATATCTAATTGTAATAAAATGCTGTTTACTTCACAACTCGCTAATGGAAGAGAAGCCCCAGTTTACAAAAGAGGCCCAAAGTTTCAGTGTCTGTGATTGTCCTGGCAGGGAAGCAGGGTGAGCCTCCTGGAAAAAATGGCCTTCCCAGGCGGTCAGGGGAAGGTGTGGCAGAGCTGGCTTCCAAAGCTCTGACTGAGTGCAGGGCAGCCAGGGTAGTAGGAAATCCAAGTCAGAAAACTTGGATTTGGGTCAGGCTGTACTACATAAGAACTGTGGGACAATCTCAGGCAAGTCATTACATTATTTGGTCCAGTTTCCCCATCCGTAAACACTACCCACTTCTTCAGTGTTACAGGGATCCAGCTTGAAGGTCAGATGGTTCAGGGAAGGGGCCAATGGCTGGATCTTACTTCAGAGGGGGGAAAGGGAGGGAAGGTGGGCTAGGCCTAGAGAAGGGGCGTGGTCGAGGAGGGCTGGGTATGACCTCTGCAGGAGGTGGGCGGGACCGAGGTCTAGAGATGAGCTTGGCTAGCGCCCAGTGGGGGTGGGCGTGGCTGAGGACAGAACAGGGTGGGAGGAGAGGTGGGCGGGGCCTAAGAGGATGGGATGGGAGGTGGGCCTGATCCAGGGAGGACCAGGCGTCCGCATCCCGGCTTTCTGCTCTCACAGGCTCACCGGAGGCCCTGCACGAGGTTCTGCAGCTGCCTGCTACCCTGCGCGCCTGCCCTCCCTTGCGCACTGCCCTGGCAGTCGTCGCTGCCTTCCGTGAGGGCAACGCTGCCCGGCTTTTCCGCTTGCTCAGGACCCTGCCCTACCTGCCGAGCTGCGCTGTGCAGTGCCACGTGGGCCATGCCCGCCGGGGAGCCCTGGCCCGCCTCCATCGTGCCCTAAGTACCTCCAAGGGGCAGACCTTGCCTCTGAGCTTCATGGTCTACCTGCTGGCTCTGGATGGACCCAACGAAGCACGGGACCTGTGCCAGGCCCATGGACTACCCTTGGACGGAGAGGAGAAAGTTGTGTTCCTGAGAGGTCACTATGCTGAGGAAGGGCCGCCCCCTGCCAGTAGCTGCTACGTGTTAGTGGGGAGCAAACTTCGAGGGCGCACCCTGGAGGAGGTAGTCATGGCAGAGGAGGAAGATGAGGGTGTGGACAGGCCTAGGTCACCAGCCTGAGGAGGGAGTGTCAGAGCACTTAGGTTTCTTTCTCCATGACTGCCAGACAATAAAATAAACTTATTTTGTAGGGACCAATCTCTAGACTTTATTTCTTTGGGGGAATACAAGGGGGAGTTGAGACATGCTAAGACCATGGGAGCAGAGAACACAAACTGGGCAAGGCCCTATCCACCTAGGGACTCAGTTTGCCCACTGGTCCCAAAGGGGTGGCCTTGGTGATCTCTGAGTTGGTATCTAAGGTTGGCATCATACATGCCATCCTCATACACCCACCACCAAGAGCAGTTGGTTTTGCTGTCCCTGTCTCCTGCTGTCCACCCTGTGCCAACTAAGTGCCAGGATGAGGGAGATTTTTGCTGGGGCTTGCCACTCCCCTCGGGTGTCTACAACTGGTGGGGCCCCAAGCTGTTGCCTCAGAAGCTTGAGAAGGTCCCATGGTTGTGCCCTCTCCTGGCATTGGGGAAGACTGGGACACACCCAGGAAAACGGGTGGGAAAGGGTTAGGATAAAGGGAGAGCTGAAGAAAGATGGCCAGGGTTAGAGGTCAGCCACAGGCCTGAGGGTGGCTGCTGCACCCTCCAGGGCTGCCACCACAATGCTCAGCTGCCTCTGCACCTCAGCCCAAGCTTCAGATCCAGAGCTTGTGTCCCTGGCCCTGGAGCAGGCATTGGCCAGGCCCGGGAATGTGGCTGTGGAGCCCGTGCGGGGTGCCCAGAGCACATGGCTGACAGGAGAAATGGGGCAGGCTCAGGGTCAGTCAGGGGCCGGGAGAGAGGAGCCTCAGGCTGGGACTCACCCAGCTCCTGTACGCAGCTAGGCACAGAGGCACCCCACACACCTGTCCCTTACAGCAGTGGTGGTGGGAGGTGTAGGTTCTAGTCCCAGCTCCAGGGTCACCCTCAGCCAGTTTGCCTCCCCTCCCTGAGCCTCACATTCCCCAGCTGTCTCCAGGGGCTGGCTTGTGCTCTGAAGGGCAGAGAAACTGACATCCTCCTCCTGAGATGGATGGCCACAGCCCAGCCCCACCTTGAGGTCCCTCCTTCCCAGGACCTTTGGGACAGGCTCACCTGTAGTGGCGTTCCTCTGGGAAGGCCCTTGGGTTCAGGAAGGTACGTTCCAAGAGCATCAGTTGGTCATTGAAAATCCGGACCTGCAGGGGGCTGGTGGGTGCAGGACCTGCTGGTCACACTGAAGCCAGCAGCCCAGCTGCCAACCTGGCATCCTGCCCTAGACGCTGCCCTCCCACACGCCTGCCGTTGCTCACTCAGGGCTGCCCTTCTGCAGTGTTGATATGTCTTGGTCCAAGGCTGCGGCTGCTTCCTCAAACTTCTCCATTGCGGTCACCAGAGGCCCTGTGAGGAACAACCAGTGGCTTAGACCTGGGGGTACAGGGCTCCCCATGCCTCAGTGTCAGGGGGTGTCCATACCCAGGCTGATGCTGTGCTGCTCAAGCAGGTCCCCAAGGTCCTGCTGGGCAGCCTGCAGGAAGCTGCGGAGCGTGTCGCTGTAGTCACTGACGTTAAGGGGCAGGAAGAAGCTGTCACTGAGCCGCAGAAGCACACTCCCAGCTGTCCGCGCTACAGCCTGGTGGCTGCTGAAACCTGTAGGGAGGGTGACAAGGTCAGGGCTCAGTGTTTTGTCCATCCTTCTCAGGTTCAGGGTGCCCCTTTCCCCACCTCCTCACCAGGGTCCACAAACTTGTCCACGTAATCAAAGGTGTCGAAGGCTGTGTGGTAGGTGGGGTAGATCCGGGCTGAGGTCTTGCTCTGGGGGAACAAGGCCCAGAGGTGACAGGCTTGGGATGGGAGTGGGAGAAGGTGTATCTCCAGTGAGTTGCAGTGTGTGGGCGTTATCTCCATTGATTTGTTGTTTTTATTTATTTGAGACTGGGTTTCGCTCTGTTGCCCAGGCTGGAGTGCAGTGGCGCAATCATAACTCACTGTAACCTTCAGCTCCTGGGCCAAAGTGATTCTCCTGCTGGGACTACAGGTGTGCACCATCATGCCCAGCTAATTTTTTATAGAGACTGGGTCTCACTATGTTGCCAAGGCTGGTATGGAACTCCCCACCTGAGCCTCCCAAAGCACTGGGATTACAGGTGTGAGCCGCCATGTCTGGCCTGGCGTCACCTCCATTGAATTCTCACCACATCCATGAGGTGGCTTCTAGGATTCTCACTTTATGGAGGAGGAAACAGAGGCTCAAAGAGGCTAAACTATCTGACATCACACTATCACACAGCTAATAAGAGGCAGTGCTGGGTCAGTGCCAGTTTCAAATTTCACATGAAGGAGAATAGCTGGGGCTTTGCAGTCAGATAAGGGGATTTGAATCCTGGCTCTACCACTCAGAATTGGTATGGAGGTAAGAAAGGGCTTTTTGGGGTGTCAAACAGGGAGATGCAGGCTGGCACTTGGCTTCCCTCATCTCATTTCACCCTCACACCCGCACTGTGGACCATCCCCATTTCATATCGTTGTGTAATTAATGCTGAGGTGATCCCCCCCCCCATTTTAAGATCTCTGGGATCAGGATGCCCCTTATAGTCATTGTCATCCTACAACTGATTGGCAGCGGGGCTTTTTCCCTCCTGAATAGGTATAACACAATGGTGCATCTTACAATCATCCAGTAGTATCTTACATTTGATAAAATACCATAGATAAGCATAAACAGACACTCAGAGAGGTTAACAAATTTGGCAGAGGCAGCACAGCCACTGAGTGAAGGAGCCAGATTCAGCCTGCCCTAGAACAGCCCGAAAAACAGGAGAGGGCTGTGGAGCAAGGGACAGAAGTGGGGACAGAGGGCTGCTGCTCACCCGGTCATAGGTGTAGGCAATGTCCATGGAGGAGATGCCCAGGAAGTGAATGAAGGGTGCGTAGTCGCTGCCCGCACCCAGAGAGCCCAGACTGCAGGAAGAAAGGGGGCCAGGCTGGAGGGCGCCAGGCCGGGCCACTGTGCCCCAGGCCCCCTTCACGCCCCTGGGCTCACCTGGGGACCACGCCATACACCAGGCTGCTGCGGTTGAAGTACCGCATCCAGTTGTCATAGATGCTGAGGTCTCCTGGCCCCGGTGAGCGGATCTGGCGAGAGAGTAATTTAGTCTTGGGGCGGCCCCTCCCCATACCCAATGAGGCTTGTCCTTCGTGGGTCTCCACCCAGACCCCAGCCTCTAGCGCACCCATGGTCCAGTCTTACAAGGCTTGCCCCAGCCTCCGTCCCACCCCAGCCTCTCTAAAAGGTATCAGTCCCCAACCTCACCCACCCATATAGCCCCACCCCCGCCCATCCTCGGCCCTGCCCCGCCCACCCCCTTCCACCTCTTTGGCTGCAGAGAAGACCACGCTCTGGACAGGAGGTGTTCCCTGCACCCTGAGGGTAGCATTGGCTGTGGGGGGAGGGGAGAAAGACTATTCTGGCCCCTGCCCCTTCCTTCATCCACCGTCACCAGGCCAGCCCTTCCTTCCTTCATCCACCGTCGCCAGGCCAGCCCCTTCCCCTCATACCAAACACAGAGATGTCCACGTTGAGGTAGGCCACTGTGCGCTCCTGCAGCTTGCTGAAGAACTGCTGCAGGTGTGAGGGGCGACATCAGCCCGGCGCTGTCCCACCCCAGGAACCCGTTTCCATCCACTACCTGTGAGGCTCACTCACCTCCGTGAATTCCGTGGAGCCAATGAGCCCAAACTCCTCTGCCCCCCAGCTCGCAAACACGATGGATCTGCGGGGTCGCCATGTGCCTGGGGAGGGGGATAGAAGGCTGGAGGGCAGGGTCCCCAGATCCCAGGGTGGCTTAGGGGAAAGGTTAGGGACATGGAGAGGAGGGGAGGAAAAGGCGGGGCAGTTGGTGACAGGATGTCCTGGTACCCTTCAGCCAGGCCTTCTAGGAGGCTCTGTCCTCCTCTTTCCAGCCTCATCCTGTCTGTGACATCCACCCCCAACACTGACTGCAACACTCAGCTCCTTCAGTCAGGTGGTTCCTTCTGTCAGTATGTCTCCCCTTGCTGTAGGCCTGGGAAGACAGTCTAAACCTGTCCCCTCAACTCTCGCTGCCACCTACCCCATGCAAACCTCGCTCACAACCAGGGCTTTCTCCATAGTGAGCCAATTCTTACAACAACGCCTTGAAAGACATGCCATTATCATTTCCATGTCACAGTTGAAGGAACTGAGCCATAAGGAAGTCATGTGACTTGCCCAGGGTCACACAGCCAGTAAGTAGCAGTGCCAGTTCACATCCAGGCCTCGGGCTCCAGAGTCCCTGGGGCTTGTTTAACCACTGCCCCACACTGGCTCTCGGAGCACCTGCAGCCTGGCTTCTACTTCCGATTTCTATGTGCACACTGCTGCTCTTACCATGGTCACCAGCCACCTTCGGAGACCTTGGTGGGTTTTGTCCTACATCTGCCCTGTTCTGTTTTTCATAAATGGTACTACCATTCATGGAGTTGCTTAGACCAGAGTCCTTCAGGTGTCCCCTCTCCCCCATAGCCAGCAGACCCCAGGCCAGAAGACAGTCTCACCCCTCTGCCCCCCACCCTTGTCCAAGCCCCAGCACACCTCCAGCCCTGGGAAGACCTGGCCCCTCCCCGCCATGGCCTTCCCCCTGCAGCACAGGAAGCTGTTTAGAATTTGGGCTCCATCACATCACTCTCCTGATTAAAATCCTTCCCCAGCTCCCCAGCATCCTTGGGCTGAACTCCAAACTCCCAGCTGGGCTGCCAGGCCCTGCCTGCCTCGCCACCTCGCCCGGCCTGGCCAGCCTCCTTTCCAGCTGCCACCTCCTCGCCCTCCTCCTGGGCCTGCCTGCCCTTCCCCGAAGCACTGAAGTGCCACCTCCACAGAGAGACCTGCCTCAAACTGGCCTGACACGTCATAGGCACAAGAGACATGTTGGCGGTGAGCCATCACCTGCCGTTCCTGCCCGAGCTCAGCTGAAGTGCTCCAAGGGCAAAGCCTGGGCACTGCCTTGTTCACAGCAGCCCAGGCACACGGGAGGCGCTCAGATGCTGCTGCATGAGTCATCAGCTGCCCCTTCCCGGTACCACACTGGGCTACTCCAGGCCAG